GGTTGATAACCCGTGGTGAGGTCATAGACAGAAGTTGGTCTCGTTCCCTTATCTAAAATTAGTCTTGAGTTGCATTTTTAGAAACATGTTGTGAAGCGGCAGGGGAGATAACAACGTTATGGCGTAGAAGACTGGAATCCACGAGTGCTAGCCCCCTATTGGTTCTAAGTCCTTAGCTGGCTTGCCTTTGGAGCGTCGGATGGCCTTTGGTATGTTCCGTCGGTTTTATCTTTCTGAAAATATACTAAGTTAAATGTATGTTAATTTGTTTTAGTCTTTGTTACTCGCCCGTGGTAGAGAGGTAGTGGAAATAGCACAGGTAGAATTGAGGGAATGCTTAAAGACGACATACAGTGAGGTTGAAAGAGTGAGAGGGAGGAATAGATGGCTCTGTTGAGAGTCGCTGGTACTCGCTGGATCTGGTCAGGTTACATCGGGTTGTGTAGCCGCCGGTCTCTGTTGAGGGGTGGCTCTCAGATAGCTTTTCCTGTTCTGGTTATGAACTGCTTTACAAGTCGCTAGAACTTGTCGTCGCAGCTTACGCTGCTCTGAAGTGCAGTATGAGCTCTGGTCTTTCTATTTCATGGTGTTTACAAGTTAGTAGGAAGTGCTCCATGGAGTTAGTAAGTTATCTACCTTATAATCCTTACGTCTTTTTTAGGACGAAATTTGTTGTTCTTTGAAACCCCACCCTGGCTTTTGCCAGGGGCCGTAATATAGGCAGGTCATAAATGTGGCTAATTGTCTGAACGCGGTTTTTGGGACCTCTCCACGGTGATCCTCATCCACATGGTGGCAATTTGTGTCATCGGGTGTTTATCGCTTGTGTCAGTCCATGGAGCATTCCTCGAACACAGGCGTGCGGAATCGGTCTAGTCAGCACCCTGGTAGCATCTTCCAAAGTTTTTGAATGACTGGCATTTTGGTCAGCTTTGCCACTTGATTCTTGAGACTGGGATTGTTTGGTTAATCCACCAGTCAACATTCAACCATTTTATACCCGGGGACCACCAAAACTATGACAACTGTTTCGAGGTAAATCTTGCAGCTAACCAAACACAGGAAAACACATGCAGATGGGAGCTGATTCGTTTAATTGGATGTCACAAAATCAGCTGTCAGCTAACGTAACATCTGTTGATGCTTAAGAGGCTGGGAATCTAATATATGGGGCTAACAGTCGTCCCCATGTGTGATGCAAGTTCCCCCTCTCCCCAATCTATGGCCTAGACATAGATATGGTCATAACGACTGAAATGGGTTTCTGGGACCTGTCCACGGGTGATCCTCATTCGCATTGTGACACTTTGTGTCACTAGATGTTTATCGCTTGTGTGATGTCTTGGTGAGGGACAGCTACCCACCAACCTACCATGTATGTGGCTCGAACATTGTTAATGACAGACGAAGCGCTGCAGTAACATTTTGGTGTTTATTACCGACATGGAGAAAAAATCTTCTGACACA